CGAAGATGTATTTCAGGTGTAGATAACTTGTTAATGGACGCATTATTTTTAGGACTTAAAATCTTTTTTTCTTAATATTCGTATATCTCGAGGTCAAGATGATCAATTGGACAGCTTTTCAAATTAAGAATACTCCTTCTACTATATTTTACTAGTGCACTTTACTTTTATGTATGAGGTTGCACCGTTATACAAAACTTTCCTTGAAGAAGAAAAAAAAAAATCCGATACTGCTAACATTGAAACTTGGGACATAACTTGAATAACATAAAACCACCAAAAGCAGGGCCTCGTTATAAAATTAGGGAAAGGAAAAGTGGCTTGTTGATGGATGGGGTGCACAAGCATCCTTCCAATGGTTGAGACTTCACAAAGCCATAGCCAAAAATTAATTTCAGTGTTTAATTTTTTATTTTTATTGAATAATATATTTTTATAAATTTTTGGCTGTAGGTTCATTTTATAAATATAATTAAATAAATATATTTTAAACAAAAAATCCCAAAAATACTTCTAAATTTATTTTGATCGTTTGAATGTTTTTATTTCTCTACTTATAATATAAGAATAAAACCCATATTTCGTATTAATATCATTCTTAAATTAAACATAAAATATAGAAAACAAAATTTGTTTTTTATCCTTAGACGAGGCTGATTCAATCTGAAAAAAGTGCTTGTAGACCTTTTAAACATCCATTGCTTGTGGATGCAATACCATCCCTTAGGGAAAGTATTGACCAGGAGGTAATTAATTCTATATTTGTTTTTCGGGGCATAAATAAAATTTCCATGAAATAAAGTCAGGATCAATATTTCTATTTTCGCTTTATCTTATTTAATTATGAGAAAATCATGATTAGACATTAGTCCAATGTCGACGAATAGTATTCTTATCAAACAGATGACACATCTAAAGGTCATTTCCAAATTATGTCTAATATTATCACAATTACCCACTAAATAATATAGGAGAAAAATTTGGTTTACTGGTAAAAATTTAAATATAATTTATCTTGACAATTTATGAAAATCAATGTATTTTTAGAGAGATTAAACACCTTAAAATATTAATAACCAAAAACAATGGGGGACGTGATATAGTGGTCATGACAATAAAATGTGGTACAATAGAATACACAAACGTGTAATTGCATATCCAATGAATAACATACAATGTCATAATTTCCTTCGATTGATATCCAATGCAATGGTTCAAAACCGGTGAAAAAGGTGCATTTAAAAAATCCACCCAAAAAAGTTGTTCCGATATCGGAAAACTCTCCAACTAATCATCTCGACGTCACGACTTATAGATATGAAAAAAGAGAAATTCTAAGACCTAAAAAACTAGGTCTTGTAGCATTATTTGAATCGTCAAATTTTGAAATTTTCGAGTTTCAGTTCCTGGCACCAATACTACAGTTTTTATGTCCTTGTAGGTACACCATATTTTGATGGCCAGGATTGGTGCCTCAAAAACACAGCAACTATAATGATTAAATATAAAGAAAGTAATTTAAGTGAATGTATAAATAAAGGAAAAATTGTCTCACGGGGGCTTGACCACATGACTACATATGCAGTCCAAAAGGTGTAACGCATTCATCTTAAAGATAGATGCAAGTAGGTGTTTCATCTAAAAACAATGGAGACTAATAGTCCACATGTTTTTTTACTACAATTATCATTTCTAGTTTCTAAAATTTACTTATTTTTTCATATTCATAATCTCCACATTAGAGATTACATGTCGCTAAAAATTAAGACAAAAAATCCATCCTAAAAATAGATTATTAATAAGGCCGCATTTCTGTATATGCGGGCTTGACCGCATAGAAACCGGGTCCATAAATAAAAGTTAATAAATGGAAATTCAATTTCTTCTTTTAATATAAAAAAATAATTACATAAAAAAATATAGTGCTTTTTTTTGGGAAAATAATGTAAGTTAATTTTTTTTTAAGGGAAAATGAACTAATCCCATTTTCTGTAGTTTGGACTGTAGTTTTCTCTATTTATACTATGTAGCTGAAATTTTTATAACAGTACTTTTTTTCTACACTGAAAACTAACAAAAATAATTAACTGTAAATTCCACAAAATCGAAGTTCAGTTTTTTAACTTTATCACGGGATTTCCATCTTAGCCTCCGCAGAGCTGTTTTTCTATACTGAAAACCAACTAAAATAATTAACCGGAAATCCCACAAAATCGTTTTTGTTTAACAAATAGAAGTTCAGTTCTTTAACTTTATCATGTGATTTCCATATATATATATATATATATATATGGGATTAACCCACTAAAATATCAAGTGATTTAGATTTGTAAGAAAAAAACCTAAAATTCAAACACTACCGGACATCTGTGGTCGTCAGATCGGCCCAAAATCAATCTGAGACGTTGGGCTCATATGTTCATATAAGCTAGTGAGCTAATCCTATCTTTTCCCATATATATATATATATGTATTATGCTAAATATATACATGTATTATGTAAATATTATAACAAAAAACATATAGTTATATTTATTTAAATATTAATTAAATATTATATATTAAATGTTATTTAAATATTAAACCTATTTGGGCTAGGGACCCGGACCTAGACCCGAATAGTGTTCGGGTTCAATATTTTGACCCAGGCCCAACCCACCGGATCCAATTTTTGAACCATACCTACCCCTAGGGTATAAAATGCCCACCTTAAATTATACAGAAGTAAAACACTCCTCTAAATTTTGCCTGATGTAGTTCATATATTAAAAATCTTACAATGGTTTGAAAATCTATATTCAACCATGTTTATAGAATTTAAAATTTTTAAAAACAATACAGATAGAGCAAATCTATAAATACTTGAAAATCTTTTGAAATTTGTTTTTCCAACTTACTTCTATATAATAAGATTTTGATATCCCATATGGGGGCACTTGTCTACATACACTTATTGCGGTAAAACTCAATTTATGAGTACTTTTAGGATCTTAGGTTTAGGTAATATATTCAACCTAGTGATCAGCCTTAGGGAAAAAATAAAAAAGAAAGAGTAATGATCCTATGAGACCCTTCCACACCCAT